TGGAGAAGAAAAGGAGCTGCTCAAAACATATGAGCTCATCAGTCCAGCACGGTGGAGGTAGTGTCATGGATTGGGCTTGCATGGCTGTTTCTGGAAAGGACTCACTATTTTTTATTGATGATGTAACTCATGATGGTAGCAGTAGAATGAATTCAGAAGTCAATTTACAGAGAAATGTATCCAATCTAATTGGGAGGAGGTTCACCATGCAGCAAGACAATGACCCTAAACACACTTCCAACGCAATAAAGGACTTCATCAGGGGAAAAAGGTGGAAGGTTTTAGACTGGCCAAGTCACCAGACCCTAACCCAACTGAGCATGCATTTCACCTCCTGAAGAGGAGACTGATGGAAGAAACCTCCAGAACTGACAACAACTGAAAGAAGCTACAGTACAAACCTAGAAAAGCGTAATAAAAGAAGAATGCAGCAGTTTTGTGATGTCAGTCACTGGTCACTGGCTTGATACAGCTATTGCAAGCAAAGGATATGCAACAAAATATAAACTGTTTTAAAGCAAATACCTATCTGTTCCTATACTTTTGAGTACCAAAAAATTGAGTGAGACAAGTCCTAAATTGATTAACACATCTAGATGTAAATATCAGGAAATGAAAGATAAAATTCTGATCTATAGTCTCATTCATCTTTGAATCTCAAACCCAAATGTCTTCAGTGTAAAAGAATTGGCCCTGCCATTTCAGTACTTTCGAAGGGGACTGTATATTTATCTACAGTCATGTGAAAAAATTAGGACACCCCATGAAAGCCTGTGTTATTTTTAACATAGTTAAACATATGGACATTTGATCTTCATTTTAACAATACTGGGAGATTCAAGTAATATAACTAAACAAATAAAACCAAAGAAAAGTCTTTTAAAATGATCTATAAAATGTAATTAAAAAAAAAATCTAATTTCTTGTGAGGAAAAAGTAAGGACACCCCCAAATTTATTTATACTTAAAATAGCTAAAATTACCTACAGGTGTATCACATCAGGTGCAAATTATTAGAACATCGTTACAGAGCATTTTGAAGGAGGCTTGCCTTATTTAAACCTCAGACAATTAATTTGGTTTGCTCTTAAGTGTTGAAGTGAGAGGTATCACCATGGTGAGATCCAAAGAGCTCTCTGAGGCCTTCAGAAAGAAGATTGTTGATGCTTATGAGTCTGGTAATGGATATAAAAAGATCTCAAAAGAATTTGTAATCAGTCATTCCACTGTCCAGAAAATCATTTACAAGTGGAGAACATTTAAAACAACTGCCAACATGGCCAGGTCAGGCTGTCCAAGCAAATTCACCCCAAGAGCAGACCGCAAGATGCTTAAAGAAGTCTCCAAAAACCCTAAAATATCATCACGGGACTTACAGCAAGCTCTTGCTGCAGTTGATGTCAAAGTGCATGAATCTACAATCAGAAACAGACTGCACAACTTTAATCATCATGGGAGGTGTGCAAGGAGGAAACCTTTGCTGTCCAAGAAAAATGTGAAGTTTGCCAAAGAACCCATAGACAAAGGCCAACACTTCTGGAATAATGTGCTTTGGACAGATGAGTCTAAAATTGAATTATTTGGACACCATAACAGAGGGCATGTCTGGCGCAAACCAAATACAGCATTTCAGCAACAGACCCTCATACTGACTGTGAAACATGGAGGTGGAGGTGTTATGGTTTGGGGATGCTTTGCTGCAGCAGGACCTGGCCAGCTCACCATCAGAGAATCCACTATGAATTCTACATCAGAAGTTGCTTGAGGAACATGTGAGACCATCTGTCAAAAAATTGAAGCTGAAGAGGAACCGGACCTTGCCACATGACAATGACCCAAAACATACCAGTAAATCCACCAAGGACGGGCTGAAAAGTAAAAAATGGAGAGTTCTGGAGTGGCCAAGTCAAAGCCCAGATCTAAATCCTACTGAGATCCTGTGGGGTGATTTGAAACAGACTGTGCATGCAAGAAACCCCTCAAACATCACACAGCTGAAAGAATTCTGCATTGAGGAGTGGGGGAAACTTTCTTCCAGTCGATGTCAGAAACTGGTAGATGGCTACAAGAAACGTCTCATTGAGGTTATTTCAGTCAAAGGGGGGAAACACTAGCTATTAGGGCACAGGGTGTCCTAACTTTTTTCTCAGGTGAAATACTCATTTTTGTTGATTTCTTTTGTTTAATAAGTGAAAACAAAGTGATTTTCCTCTACAGGTACAAATTAAAACAAGATCAGAAATTGACATGTTGACATTTCTTAATAAAGAACTGAATATTTAATGGGGTGTCCTAATTTTTTCACATGACTGTATGTACGTATGCATTATTTTTTCTATTTATTTCCATACTGCTGCAGAATGGTGATTAAATTGTGGATAAGTACATGCACATCATTTTTCTTTATTTCCCTTTTTCTTTAGCATTTACTTTTGTGTGGTACTTTTTCTCTTTAGTGTGTATTTTTTGACCTCTTTCCTTTTTCCTCTTTAATATAACATTTCTTCCTCTTTTGTGTATTTTCAATTTTTTTCTTTCTTACCTAAAATCCACTGAAAGTGGAAAAAAAGGATGAAAAATTCCCAACTGCACGGCTGATAATATCATTACTCCCTATTGTACTCTTCTTAAATCTGATATGGTGGAAATGCTCGTTTTCCTGTCTTTTTTTTTTTTAGGGTATTGGCTCTGTATGATTAAATACTTTATTGCAGTTATTTTAAATGGTAAACTGTGAGCAGGGGAAAATGAATACTGCACAAGCCCAGTGTTAAGTATCTGTATTCAGCATATTCAGTCTTGTGAAATAATGGAGACATCAAAAAGGTAAAGCTGCTGAGACAACAGAAATTCTGATTCGAGATGGTAGTGAATTTTAATGGAAACCTTCAGAAGGAAAAAAAAAATCAGAAACCCAAGAAAATGCAGTATAACTGAGACCTCAGCTTACAACTACACCCTTTACACACAGTTACACAAATACATGGTGTGTTTTTATTCTTTTCTGACAAATGCAGTCAACTGAGGTAAGATTTCAGAAAAACAAAAAAAACCTGTATTTTGATGTTAGATGTGATTAATAACCTTTTAGCTCCCTGCTGGAATATGACAGGGTAAATCCACCTATCCAGAGGATAAAGTCCCACCTCATCATCCTTATCTTTTCATCAATTGTTCACTAGCACCACATGACAGGGTCAAAAAAATATATATTATACAATAATATCACACTTTATATTCAACATCATGCAATTTAACATTTTAATTGTTGACATTATACAACAGAAAATGTTGTGACCATAACCAAAACAACAAATCAAAGATCTGTGGAATACAGAAACATATCGCTGTTATTACAAAGACTCATGGTAAAGTGACCAAATAACAATAGCAAGCATTACGTTTAATCCAGGCAAGCGTAATAGTCTGAAACGTAAATTTCGCCAAATGATTAAGGCCACAAAGAGAAGTCATAGTGCACACATCGTGTGCAACAGGACTTTCGTGGCAAACGTAAATAAGTGCATCAGCTAAACACCCTTTTAAACACCAGGCTGTAGGTTTGAATAGCACAGAGCGTACAAACTAGCAGTGAAGAGAAGAACAGTACGTGCTGGGCTTTGAGAGTAAACAGAGTCAGTGTGGTGGGTGAGGGCTAGAACTAGAACTACAGCCTGCGGGAGGGTAAACCTGCACGAACATGCAGGCAAACTTTTAGATGGTGTTCATAGTGCAGGATGAGAAAATTGTTTCTGAGAAATCATTTTAAAGAAAAAAATAAAACAGATCTGACATTCCTTACCTCTCTGTCACTTGAGGAGGAAGGAGCATCCTGGTGCAGTCCAGGTGATTTCCCGTGCTTCTCAAGTGCCTTCACCTAGGCAGGGACAATCATACAATCTGCCATAAACATATTAACGCCAAAACATGATGTACACACAGAATTGAAGTTTATACTATTGTTACTGACTGACCCTAAATCAGATTTGACATATTTTCTGATTGAATCCACCATCATATTTTATGCACTGAACGCATGTGTCTTCATTGACTAAGCACAGATCTTGTTTGTGAACGCCAGACAGAAAATGTCTTAACACACACCGGCCATTGTGCGTCTGGTGTTTCAAATAACTTGGCAAGAGATTTACAAAGAGTCAACTTGTTTACTGTGAGCTATATCAGTAATGGATATAACCCAGAGCTTTGATATCGGTATCATACAAAAAAAATAAAAAAATTGAATATATTCATATCCATTATGTATGTGGATATATTGGAGTCATTCAAATGACTCTTTGGAACTTGGTTTTTAAAGCAAACACCAAAGGGTTTCCATATTGAGTCAACATCAAGTAACTTCCTTTAAGAACAGGATTCACTTTAAAGCTCAGTGAATCATAATGATACCATGTGTGTGTGTTGATCTGGGAAAACCTGCAGGATGTTGCAGTGACTGAATTCTGGAAAACAGCCAAAAACTACGAAAAAAAAAAAAAAAAAAAATCACATCTTGTGCAGAATTGAGATTTTCAGCCAATAAAACACTTGATTTTAAGAAAACGTACATATATTTGACCGGAACTGTGCAAATGTTTGTATTTAGGCTAATCTCTAGCCTTGCCGTGCAAGAAAAAAACAACGTGTTCTTCATATCTGGGGGTGAAACCAAACCTAGCAAACAAACCAAAAGTACCAAGTTCACTTTGATTCAGACTGGAGGAACTGACTAATAGGTGTTCAAGCACCATAAATGTGCTTTCCTCTCATAATGAATGTCAGGTTTTAATCAGTTTTCTGGATAACTATGTGCCATAGCAAAATGGTCAATGGGCTAATCAGTTCAGTTTCTTATCAGATAGCAACTGTCAAAATATGTGCCATGCTCCAGGCACATTATCATCAAAGCAGAGAAGAGCGCTTGCACACTGTACAGATGACAGGTTCAGGAAAAAGTCTGAAGATTTCAGACTTAATACATACATCTTATACTGGCATCTTGCCAGTACTGTGATTTGAACTCAAGACTTTCTGATCAGAAGTCCAACGTCTTAACCACTGAGCTACCACTGCCCCTATAGCGTGGATGTGCATACATACATATATAGACTATTCATCACTATCACTACATTACAATGCCCAACTTTCGCCACACTTATATGATATGACATAACTACTGCTGACATTTGTCATTAGGAGCAGTTAGCTCGTCAGGCTGGTTTTCGCTTCGTTTGACATGAGGATCAATAACCCGAGCCTGACAATAAAGAGGGGTGTGCTATAAGGAAGTAGAGCTGTGCGTGCGCGGGATTTTGATTGGCTGTTGCAATCCAGTCCTGCGCTCGGATTGGCTAATAGTTCATAACCGCAAGCAGTCCGGCGTCGAAATCCGGAATATGTTTTGGAATGTAAGTGAGGAAAATAGCGCTGTTGTGATAATGCACTTGGCCGTAAAAGACGTTTAAAAGTGCAGAAACTAGTGGTAGACTCAACCAAACACCTAAACTAAGTTTTACAGCACGACTCGTTCCTTTAAATGTCATCTGACAGGCTTCAGGTCAAAACACAGCGTCGCTAGTAACCCTGACCCTGCTAAAGACGACAGCATCTATTCATAAATAAAGACGTGTTTTCTGTAATAGAAACGACTCAGCGGTGCTAACTATGATAGAAACAGTGCTGTGATTGTGACACAAATGACAGGATAAAGATAAAGTTACTTTGCCGACCAGCTAGCAGTATCAGATGAGTGTGTTAGCTAAGCTCACTACTAACCTGGGCCTGTTGTGGTGACAGGGCATTCCTCTGTGGTGACTGTTCTTCATTAATTTTCTGCTTCAGCTTCTTAAACATGACTGCTAACAACAGGTGTAACTTCCCAGAGTTTTTATTTTTATTATATTATTGTCTGGACCTGCATCCAGCTTACAGTATCGGTGGCTCTGTTATGTCGTTTCTCATTTCGCAGGTAAGGTGAACACTGCGCAGCTGCCGACGTGGAGCAAAAGCACGCAGCTACGGCATCTCGCGAGGCTCACACAAAATGGCGAAAAGGCAAAGGCGAAAGAAGATGAAGTGGGATGATGATGGAGTGGCTTGATGTTAGATTTCTGCTCAAAAGTGCTTAGCAAAATCTTTATTACACTAATCAGTAACTATTTGTTTAAAAAAATTACAGGAATCATACGAATATTTTTGATATAGCTAGGTTTGGCGCAGTAGTCTAATAATACATAAATATAAATAAATAAATATAATAACATTTCACATAATTCACAGAAAGTTTCTATGTCTAATATGTGGTGGGTTTTTAAAAAAAATTCTTATTAAATAAGGGACACAGCCTTATTACAAATTTCACGTCATTGCTCATGCAACTGTTGGCAACATGAACGATATAATAATAATAATAATAATAATAATAATAATAATAATAATAATACGAGCTGCAAGCAGCATTTTCAGGGGCCAAGCACCCAGACTCGGTGAGCCGAGCGTTGCCTAAGCAATCACAGGAAAGCAGAGATTCAAGTATATAATATATGGAAAACTATATAAAATATCAAAAATCGTTTGATAACTTTTATTTGATCAATCATTTGATAAATTCTTAAAATTAAATTAGGTTTTTTCTTTAAAAAACTATGTCACAGAAGTTGTCACAGTTTTTGACCACAGGTGGCACAGTCATTAAACTTTCTGGGGACATTAGTGCAAAGTCCTGAGGATCAGGTCTCAAGATATACAAATGTCTTACTGAGACATGTTTTTTTGCATTTTGCAGCGCATTACAGGAGAACCTTTTTTGAATAACTTTGACAGCTTTTGTTCAGACAGCTCTCAAGATGATGTAAGCCAAATTTAGTGAAGATTGGACAAAATTTGGAGGACGAGTAGCAAAAATGGCAGTGAGATGGAAGCATTTTAAGCATGTTATTGTAACTTTTGACCAGTAGGTGGTACTGGCAAGAAATTAGTTGCATAGCCTCAGGTCATGGTCCTGAAGATGCCTACCAAGTTTTGTGTCAGTGCACCAAGTCTTTGTTTGGCGGCTTCACTGTCAGATTCGTTGGCCCATTATGGGCAAACTGTTTGGAATATCAAAATTCTTTTCACAACCTTTGTGAGGCTTACTCTGAAGATGATATGTGCCAAATTTGGTGATGATAGGGCAAACTTTGTAGGAGTAGCAAAAAACATTTTTTGAAAAAATCCAAGATTGTGGAAAATCTAATTAGGCAGAAATTGACATCATAGGATGCCTTGAACTCATCTTGACCCAGGGAATCCAGGGATGCCTTTAAATTTTGGACACATGGTTCAAAAGTTATGACCATAAATGCACTTCCAAATTAGGCCCAAATTTGACCCGATGGTGGCACTAAAGCTTTGGCAGCACTTGGCCCAAATTGCAAAAGAAGCAGAAGAAGAAGAAGAAGAAGAAGAAAAGGTAGAATAGCAATAGGGTGTCCACGCACCTTCGGTGCTTGGCCCCTAATAATAATATAGCACTTTTCTATCACTCAAGAAGGCTGTAAAAAAGCACAGACTACAGAGAAAGTAAAGACTAACAGGCAGAATAACGTGAAGTGTTGGGAGAAAAGGCAGGGCGAATTTTGTTATATAGGGACATCATGTAAATTTGAACAGTTTCACTTAGCAGCATTTATTTTCTGGTATGATAAGTGAAAGTCAATACTTACACGGCCCTTGCAGTGGAAGTGCGTGATAGAAATAACATAATTTATGTAACATCGTATAAGGGGGTGTGGTCAGCATCAAAAATCTTGAGGTGATATATGCTTTGGCATTTTTATTCAGATGTTTTATTATAAGGTTATATAATTGTCATGACTGATATATTACACGTATTTATGATGTACATATCATACATTGTATTACTCTCACAAGATAAGAACAAATTTGGTTAAAATCATGTACATATGTTTACAATCTAATCATTTTCATGATGTTCCAAATGACCAGTCATGGTTTGTTCATTTGAGAGAGCATGGTTCAGGTTAATTGAAACATTCTTAAAATACAATGAGTTGAGAGAGGAAAAGTGAAGGGATATAATAGATGCATGAATGGATGTATGAAACAATCCACAACTATGGGTAAATTATGTATAGACAGATTTTATGTGCATTAAATTGTGTTTTTAGGAAGCAACTTAAGAAGCAGGGGAATAAGGTAAACTGGGAAATAATACATGTTACTTAGGCCAACTACTTAGTATTTAGAGATTTTTTACGTAGTGTACTGTGTTCATATTTTTCCCTATTGAGTTCAAACTGATTTTTAGAAAAAATTAAAGTTCTAAATATGGAAAATGTTGACGATTTACTAAACCCTGCCTAAGAAATGAATTATAGCAAGTTACTCAGGACATCTTAATATGTAGTCAGTTTTACCCACTCAATACAATATGAGAATATGCTGATGATGAATTTGGAGAAGATTCTTTCAAATCCTGTTACTGAAATTTGATTTATTGATGTCATGGATAAGTGTGCTACAAATAAATAATGTTTAATTTAAACATGTCATTGAGGATGAAAGTAAAGGCCTAAAAAAATGAAAATATGTGCGCCAAATTATCAAACGTCATTAAAAATGGTTTTCAGTGTGTCTTCTTAAGGGTAAACCATGCTTCTTTAGAATATGATACAAATATTCTTCACACTTAGATAGTCAACACCTTGGGAATTTCAGAAATGTATCATTTGTTGGGGTATTTCTTTTATTAATGGCATGAAAGCTTAGACAAAACTGTCAAAAACTGTCCCAATATACAGTATATATGAATTCACCCTATGTTTTAAGTTAACTGCATGAAAAGTTGCAATAAGGGTGCATAAAGGTCGCTTCTGAGCACTCAGTTGAACCCCAGAATTAATACTGGGTCATCCCATTGGCTTGTGGACCTTAAAATCACAAGTGTGCCATTTTGGAAATGGGCCAGGTCATCACTGTTTTTATTGTTGATGTCAGGACCAGAAAAATCATATTTAAATGTAACATTCAACTTTTTTTTTTTTTTTTACATTGGGTTTTTGACAATAGACATAAATACATTACTTCCGGTGAGCTAACACACTATTAACAAGCCAGCAATATTGCAGCCTAGCTAGGTGGCAAAGCAGCAAGTTAGCGTAAAGGTACTATGTGTACAGTCTAAACGAAATCAGTTAAACTTGCTCGTTGATTCATCTTCAGTAAGTAATCCTGGTCTGGACCATATCCTGGGTACATTGGACACGAGGCAGGAACACTCCCTACATGGGACACCAGCACACCATGCACACACACATTGCTAGAGGCAATTTAGAGTAGTCAATATACCATCATTGTTCTTGAGAAGTGGGAGGAAACTGGAGAACCCGGAGGAAACCTATGCAGACACTGGGAGAACATACGAAACTCACACAGACAGTAACACACAGAGCTCAGGATCAAACTAGGGAGCTGTGAAGACAACAATGCTACCTGCTGCACCACCCTGCTACCACTAGGGGGTATTCCAGTTTAAAACGTGTTTAAAGAAAATTGTCTTAAAGTAGGAAAATAGCTGATCATGACAAAGTCTTAGGCAGAGATCTGCAACAATACAGTCATACAAAGAATAGTATGTGTGGTTCTGGCCTAGATGGCCACAAAACACTGTGTGCAATTTGTGTTTAGTTAAGATTCATGCACAAGTCCCAGTCTACGTAATCAATTATTATAAAGAGCATACATCAAAATAAAGCACAAACAAATAAAGATACTGTACAAAAAGAAGACGCACATTTTTTTTTTTTTTTTTGCCAGAAAACTAGAGGTGAGATTAGAGGTGTGCATCAGGACTGGAATGCAACAAAAAAGTTAATGAGCAGGAGGTTTTCACTCTCATGCAGGTGCAAGCAAGTGGTCAGATATGAAAATATATAAAGCCAGCATTAATCAGTGTTGTGTCTTAAATTGGAATACACACACACATACAGTATTTAGAGCACTTAACAGATGCAGAATGCATATCTGTATCTGTTTACTACCCCAAATATCCTTACGTGTATCCATACCTGCTTT